CAACTCCCCATTGCGTGTAGTAGAAGGGATTGACTTATTTTTCCCCACTCACCACAGGTCTGTGGCAGTAGTTCTCAAAGTGTAATCATTAGATCAGCAGCATCAGTTACCCAGGAACGTTTTAGAGATGTAAATCTCACCCCAGACATATTAAATTAGAATCCCTGGGGTTGAAGATCAACAATCTGTGCTTTAATAAGAAATGGATGTTTTTAATGTATGGTAAAATTCGAGAATCAATGACACAGAGCATTGGATGCTGATCATCAATTTTGTATCTACTTTTCCCCAATGTAGTGGTTTATGTTAAAGATGGCTACAATAAAGCCCCCTATCCCAGTATGCATCACCTCTTGCAATGTGACATGGCAGCTTCTTCCTTTAAGAGATGAAGTAATTTCCTCATCCCTTCAATCTGGGCTGAACTTTGGACTTGCTTTGACCATTAGTTTGCAGCATAAGTGATCTGTATAAACTTCAAAGTCTAGGCATGAAGAGATCTTGTAGTTTCCACTTCCCCTCCTTTGAAACATTACCATGAGAATAACATGTAACAAAGCTTCTTGTAGCCTACTGGAGGATGAAACCAAGATTCTCCAGTCAACAGCCAGCTGTCAGATATCTGAGTCATTTTCAGACCATATCAGTTGCCAGATAACTGCATCTACATGTATAACACCAAGAATCAGAATAGCGATCTAGATAATCAAGTACAAACTGCAGACACAGAATCATGAGCAAGTAAATAATATTTGTTTTCAGCTATTAAGTTTTGGGGTGGTTTTACCAAATAATAGATAACTGATAACACCCAGCTGTCCAAGCAACAACAACTGCAAGTTTTTTTTTTTCCACTATGCTCCTTTGTCCTACAAATTAAAACAGCTCAGGCAGGACTACTCCACTATACTATGTAATTTAAGTAAGTAACCAAAAGAGAATTTGGTTTAGTGTTAAAAAAACAAAACAACCACCTTTGGGCCTCAGTTTCAACACATATAAAAGAAGTATATTCAGCCAGATGATAAGTTCACTGATTATTTGAAGTTTGAAGTTTTATAGTTCTAACAAATTGAAGTAAACTGATTTCTTCTACTCTGTAAGTAGAAAAGAGCCAGAAAGTTATATCACTTTACTTTCCACACATCTAAGATTGAGTTAAATTACATGAACTACTGGCTAGCTGCCTCTGTATCTGGAATTTCCATTAGGTTCTTGGACAGAGAGATAGTACAAGGCACAGCAACAAAACAAAACACAGGCTTGGAGCCTGACACAGTTGGATTGGAATCCTGGCTCTCTTTCCTTCCAGCTGTGTGGCCTTAATCTAGCTATTTCCACTCTAAACCTTGAGCTTCTTATTTTTTAAAAAAATTATGTCCAATCATATGTGTTTTGCAATTATTTTGGGCATAAAATAATGTATGTAAGAGAAGCTATACACACAGTAGTAGGAATGTGATGGGAAAAACACATTAAAATTACAAGTTATACTGTATTATAATATAGTACATAAAATAAGAATTGTATATCAGAACCATATTACAAATTAAATTTTCTTTTTTCTTTTGTTGTTTATTTCAGATTAACTTTCTGTAAGTCAGGAATAGAAACAATTCTTAATCCTGATACTTAAACCACCCCACTAATGAAAAAAAAATCTTATTTGAATAAAAGCAGTTCTGGATCTAACGGACTCTCTATTGATTTTGTTTTCATTCACCGTTTGTGTACTTAACAGCTTGACTTTATGCCCAGCTCTGTCAGTTTGCTTGAAGGTGATGAAAAGCCCTTGCTTCTGAGAAAATATTTCTCTCCCTCACTTCCTCTGTAGCTCTGTCCCCCACCCCCATACCAATAGCTCGGAGATGAGGACATTCCCAGACTTTCCTTACTGGCAAAACAAGGACAGTGTAGAGAGAAGACAAAGAGTTGGGGGGGGGGGTGGATGAGGCCCTTATGTTGGGGAGAAGGGAGTAGGGCAGTAGCTGTGAAAGACAGATATCTCTCACTGCTTCCACCACTCTTTCCCTTGCCATCTGCTCTAGTCTCACTGGTCTCAATATTCCTCTACCTTGCTCCTACTTTGCCATCTTGGCTCTGACTCTGGCTCTGGTCTCTCTGCCTGGAGTACTTTTACTCCACTTATATCAACTGTCTGATGTTCTCTTAATAGAAGAGCTTCTCTGACCACGGTGTGGACAGTAATACCCTGCTCCCTGCTTTCATGTCCTCTATTAACTGTTTCTCAAACTTTAATATGTATAGGAATTACCTGGAGATTCTATTAAAATTGCTGATAGTGATTTAGTGGGCTTCGGGAAGGAGCCTGAGAGTCTGCATTTCTAGCAAACACCCGTTTGACATCAATCTGCAGACTGCACTCTACATCACTTATAATTATTGAGATAGTATGTGTTTTCTTCTTTAATGGTGTATTGTCTTTCTCTTACAATTGGAATATATATCTCATGAAAGGAGGGACTTTATTCTATACTGTATCCTGGGAACCTAGTATGATATCCAACACATAGAAGTTACTCAATACACATGTAAGTGGATGAATTATATATGTTGTTTGGAAATAAATACTGTGTCTTTAAAAGTATTTTTCTTTGGATCATTATTGTTACATTTAGGTTCATTACATGTTAAATATATTTTGGTGCCCTGACTTTGGAACCTTCCTACTGAGACAGGAAGAAAAAGGTTAGGCAGACAGACAGGTGGGTCCTCTCGTAACAGTGTGGTGAACTCCTGGTGGGCTTCTCAGGCTCAGTGTTGGTAAACAAGCTCCCTGCAAGCCTCTCAAGCTAGAGCTAAAGTCCTCACTACTGGGATTGAAAAGTAACCAATCAGAACAGCAACCACTCACAGCTAGTGCTAGCCAATCGACTTGGACTTAGGACTTTATAAGCACCAGGTTTTTGGCCCTAGATGGGCAACCCCTTTGGGCCCCCTCCCACTGTGGGAGCTTTTCTGTCCTCAATAAATTATCCTTTCTCAACTTCCAACTGTCCATGTCCCTCATTCTTCCTGGGCATGAGACAAAAACCTTGACCTTGAAGAGCTGCAACCTGAAGAGCTGCAGATCAGAAAAGTCATGGACCCCAGAGGCTGACTTACCAGCCGATAGATCCAACTGAACCAAGAGAGCTGCCGGAGGAAGGCGAGACTCCGAAGTTGAGGCACCCAGGGGGCTAGGCTTGCAGGCCCACCAAACCAGCAACACTCTCAGGGCTTGGCTTGCCAGCCCATTAGAGCTGACACTTGTGGGGCTAGGCTTACCAGCCCCTCCACGACCCTCTCTGGGACTTGGCTGGCTGACCCATTGATCTGACACTCTTGAAGCCCAGGCTGACCTGAAAAATCCGCATCACTACTATGTGTATAGTCGTTTAAATGAGCGCATAAACCTATAAGTTCAGATTTCAACAAGCTTATAAAAAAACTGTTAGAACACAACCTCTTCACAGAGTTACAGAATCTGAGACTGAACATACCAGAGACAGCACGAGAACAAACAACAATAAATGATAATATGTGGACAAACTATGCATACGAATATGTGCTGAAGGAACCAAAAGTTACAGCTCATAAAAAGAAATAAATCTGACATAATTAGTTAAATATCACCCTGATCTAGCAATTTTAGTGTCCCAGATGGACAAAAAAAAAACAAACAAACAAAAAACAATGCTTGCACATCTTTTTCAAGTCTCCAGTGTCATTAAATCTAACTCTGATGATTGTTCAGAAACTCCAGGGGCACATGAGATGCACTGTCCTCAGATTGTAGAGCTTCTTCTAATCCAAGTACATTTATTCCTCCTATTGAATTATGACTGTGCTACCCTGGCTGTGAGCCTTCCAGTTCCGTTTCTTTCTACTTGATATGAAATAAAAATCAACTTTATCTAAAGAACCAGTCACCATACTTTAATGCTTCAATCATTTATTTGATCTTTGAAAAGTAGACAAGGCAAAACAACAACTACTATAAACCCAAAGATGTTTTTAGTTCTGCCTAATTATAGAATGGTACAGCAAAAAACTTGTCTGGTTTCTTTCCCTTGGGAGTTAAAATCAGCCTTAACATTGCCAAAAGAACTTATGCAAACCTTCCATCAACAACAGAATAGGAACTGAAATAAAATAGACTGAAAGTATGCAGTGAAAACAAAAGTTAAAACTATAGCTAAATGAAGAAACGTTCCTCCCTCTAGAAAGCTTGTGGTAGTCATAGTCCATTTTTCATTTCTTTTTTTTTTTGAACTAAAAATGGAAGAGTTTTTAAAGTTGTTTGCAAATGGCACAGGAAGAGGTGCTAGAAGGACTGTGTGTGTTTCTGGGATTTCTCTAGGCATATTTGAAGAATATTGTCTAAATGGTATAGGATTCATTGAGATGGCATCCTCATATATTTGTTGTTAGTGGATATTCTGGCACTTCATACTGATCCTCTCTTTAGAGAAAAACACAGGTTGCCCTGGATACTGGGAATACTGGTTTTTAATGGTGTTCTTTACTAGGAATTTGCCTTCTGCCTCAGAATACTCTTTTAACTTGTCCCTCTGCTCTTAGGAGGCAGTCCATAAGCAATGGCAGACCTGATCAGGAATACGAAGGCCAGGACCAACTCCCATGCAATTCAAGACAGCTCTGTAGAACGAGGCCAGCTCTAGGGCTCCTATGTGATTGGCTGAGGCCTCTGTTGCAGCCAAATCACATCTCAGACTCTCCATCATCTCCCCTGCACTCCTCTCTTCCTTCTAGGTATAGCACCAGAGAACACACTCTCCAATATATTTTTGTCATGTAACACTCTAAGTCAATTTCCAAGGAACCCACCCTAAGACTCTTTGCATACTCAATAACACAATGGTTCATTCCTATCTTCAGAAACGAAACAAATTTTCTTTTTCAACCAGAGATCACCTCACAGTTGTGCTTTTAAGTAAATAGCTAAAACCAGCAGTAAAGGGATCCGGTATACTTACAAGTTCCAATAGTGGTCAGTCCAGGAGCTAGGTCAGGACGCTTTGCCCTCAGCTCTTGAAGTAAACGGTTTACCGCCTTCCACTCAGAGCTCAGATCTTCTAACTTCCTCTGAAGTAGAAAAGCATACGCATTACTTATTTGATTAACACCTTGAAGATAACTTAATTCATGAACTTCTTAATCCATTTTGTGAACATATTATTGAATTTCTATTATATTTTACTTCTAAATTAATTTTTCGGGCAGAATTTCTTTTAAAGTAATTATAATTATTTTAGCCAACCACCCTACAAATATTTATTGATTGCTGCATACAAACTTTTCCTCCAGGCACAATTTCATTTAAAGTAAGTAGAGTGCAAACATTGGTGAAAACAACAGAAACAAAAAACAGTTTCCCCTCAGCAATTGACTTAAGTCTTAAATAGTATTTACTGTGGCTGCATACTATAATTATCCAGATAACTTTAAAAACAATTCTAAGCCAGGCTCGGTGGTTCAGCCTGTAATCCCGTGCCTTTGGGAGGCTGAAGTGAGTGGATTGCCTGAGCCCGCGGGTTCAAGACCCGCCTGGGCAGCGAGACCTCATCTCTGCAATAAATCAAAAAATCAGCCAGGCGTGGTAGCACATGCCTGTAATTCTGGCTACTTGGAAGGCTGAGGCGGAAGGATCGCCGGAGCCCAGCAGGTCGAGGCTGCGGTGGCCGGGAGCGGCCACTGCACTCCAGCCTGGGCGACAGAGTGAGACTCCAACTCAAAAAAAAAACCAAAAAAAACCAAACCAAAAAACAATTCTAATGCCTTGACTCACCCCAGATCGATTATAACAGAATCTCTCAGAGAAAGGGACAATGATAGGCATGAGAATGTACCACCCAGAGCACCCTTCAAGGAAATACTCTTGTCCCAGTTGATAGAAACAATATCAGTGAACAGTCATCAGTTGTCAATCCCTTCAGGGATTGCCTCAGCTGCAGAAAGCTGCCTCGTCTAAGGGCATATGTTTCCCTGGGCAACCCTCACTCAACAACAGATCAAGGTAAGGTATTAAGACCTGACTAATTTGGCTCAAAGCAGGACATGTTTGAATGGCTATTTCAGCTGCAGAGCTCCCTGTGGAGTCAGCCAAGCCTGTATATGGGCAGTGGTGTGTTGACGGATGTTTAATAACTGGTTTTCCGGGGGAAAAAACAAAAACCCACAACACCCTGAATTTAGTGTTTGACAATTTATGTGGTGTAAATACTCTCAACATGGTCAATTTTAAGTTCCCAAGATAGCATCAGATAGCCACACAATGCCTACAAACGTAGCAATAGGCCCCCCTGAGCTGACTTTAGCTGATTTTAACATACCACTGGGCAGTCATATGATTAGTTATAGCCAGTAGAATATGAACAGAAGTGATATCTGTCAGCTTAAGGCTGAGGCTTTTAAAAAATGAGAGGTTTGTTTTTTTCTTTCATTCTTTTCTTTTCTTTTCTTTTTTTCATTGACTGGAAGCAGAGGACTCCAAGGTCCTGTGTCAAACCTTTACAACTGACTGGGGAGAGAATTAAGTCCTAATGCCCTAGAGCAGTGGTTTTCATACTTTAGGGTCAACAAAATCATCTGGAGGCTTTGTTAAAACACGATTGTTGTATAGCAACAGCCCCAGAGTTTTTCAGGTGATATTGATGCTGACTGTCTGTGACCAAAGCCTAAGGCACCTTTTATACTTCATGAGTTATCTAAGCAAATATGATGGATTAGATATACACCCTTCTTGAAAAAATAAGAACATAGGCCATTAGATAATTTCAATAGGACTTCATTCTCTTGAGAAACCTTAGTAGAGCAAAACTGCCAAAGGAATGGCAGGCAGAGGCACACGATGGACAGAACCTAGGTTCCTGTATTAACACACTCAGGTTGGCCAGGAAAGAACATACATAGGACTGCTATATGAGCAAGAAGAATACTGCTATTGGGTAAAGCCACTGACATTTTTAGTTTGTTAGAACTAGCAATACCTTACCAGTACAATAGCACTACTCTTAAAAGCTTTACTAGTGTCTGTAGAAGGTAATAGCTGCATTTTTATACAGCTGTAAATTCCTATGCTTATGTTGTCAGGAATACAAATAATTTAACTGATGTTGGATTTGGTTAAGATGAATATATGAACAGAAATTGCATTTCTAGTCTGAAGAATCAGAGTAGAAAGTGTCAAAAACTACAAACTCTTTAAAGAGCTATTGAGTAGATAGAAATGTTAATGAACCCAACCTAACTGGATTGTTTTATATACACGTTGTGGTTTAAAGCCAATCATTAACTTAATGCTAATCACTTCAATAAAAACATTCATTCTTTTGTTTATTCATTCAAAGAAAAAAATGTTCAGCTGCTACTCTGTGTCAATCTTTGTGCCAGTTATTTAATTTACAAAAAAATGAAGATAGTAACCTCTAAGTATTCACAGCGTTGTGGAGAAAACAGACATGTAAATAAATTACAGCAAAGTTTTTAAAGGAATAATAATGATTTCAACAAGATACATTGGTGGGACAGCTTAACTCAACCTGGAGAGGACAATAGCTTACCCCAAGAAGTTAATATCTGAACTGATCTTGAAAGATCACTAGGGAGTTTTCAGAAAGGTTCCATTTGAGTGTCAGGTGAAGGGGGGACATTTTAGACAGAGAGAAGAGCACGTGCAAAAGAACAGAGAAAAGAGATATCAATCCTTTCTAACAAAATGCAGATAGCTTGTCCTGATTATCTGGACTACAGTGTTTACAAGGAACAATATGGAACTACTAGACCAGATTTCTTGACAATTTATTTATTTATTTTATTTTTAAATTTTTTTTGAGTTGGAGTCTCACTCTGTCGGCCAGACTGGAGGGCAGTGGCTCCCTGCCACCGCAGCCTCGAACTGCTGGGCTTCGGTGATCCTTCCGCCTCAGCCTTCCAAGTAGCCAGAATTACAGGCATGCACTACCACGCCCAGCTGATTTTTTGATTTATTGTAGAGATGAGGTCTCGCCAAGTTGCCCAGGCGGGTCTTGAACCCGTGGGCTTAGCCAATCCACTCACCTCAGCCTCCCAAGGTGTGGGATTACAGACTGAGCCACTGAGCCCGGCTGACAATTTATTAAGGCCTTGTAATGTGAGATTATCAAATTCTCTCCTAAAACCAGAGTGTGAATGAAGGTGTTTAGAGCAGAGGAGTCACGTGATAAAACGTGGGTTTTATCACAAAGGAGCAGAGACACGAGTTAGGAGTGAGAAGTGGTCAACCTGACTGAAGACTTTGGTCATACAGAAAAATGTAGAGGGGTGTGTACAGAAATTGTACACTATTTTTTAAATTTATTTTTTCTTGTTCGTGTATTTATTTTTTCTTGTCTATTTTTATTGCATTTATTTATTTTTCTTGTCTATGGTAGCTGAGATTTATTTATTTATAAATAAATTTTTATTGTCTGTGCATTTATTTTTCCTGTCTGTGGTAGTTGAGATTTTGAGCTGGTAAATGCTGAAGAGAACTTTCTATCAAGATGTTTCTTTGAGTCTACCCTATCAGTGTGTTTTGAATGAAGGGGAAAAAAAAACAGCGGTAACTGTGTGCTCCTCTCTCCAAATTGACAACAAAATGAATTATATACCGTGGATGATTTTTTTAAAATAGAAGAGTTTTAAAAAATCGAGGTAGGTTTTCCATGCTTGCGATGATTTTATTAGGCTTTTATAATTCCTTAACCAAACTGTATTTGAAACATTAATTTCTTAGACCAGGGTCGCGACCTATGGAGACTAGGTGGTAAATAAGGGAAGAAAAAGACTCATCTAAAGCAGAGAGCTGCAACTTCAGTTGCAACTGGTGATTGCCAGGAGAATTGTGGGCATAAGTTAAAAAACGAACAAAAAATCCTACTGATTATATTCCCGCTTCAGTGTGTGCCAGAGAAGTTTCACTCAGGTTTCCAAGAGCACAAGGGAGTACAACAAAGTTTTTTGCTGCATTGTGGGGAATTGAAGCCAATACGGGTGTGCATGTTAAAGAAATGGCTGACTGCGAGACCCGCCTCGGCAACTTGGCGAGACCTCATCTCTACAGTAAATAAAAAATTAGCCGGGCGTGGTAGTGCACGCCTGTAGTTCCAGCTACTTGGAAGGCTGAGGCGGAAGGATCGCCGGAGCCCGGCAGGTCGAGGCTGCGGTGGCCGGGAGCGGCCACTGCACTCCAGTCTGGGCGACAGAGTGAGACTCCAATTCAAAAAAAAAAAAAAGCAATGGCTGACTGACTATGATGGATACACGTTAAGGAATAGTATGCAATAGTAAAAATCAACCAGCTAGGTGTATGTAGAGCAATGTGGTGGAAACTTAAAACAGTCACGAATTTTTGAAAAGCTAAGAGACATAAGATGTATAGCACACCATAGCTTTTATAAATTCAAAATATAAATAATATTACATATTTTATAAGAATAAAGCAGGAAAAGAAAGGGGAGAAGATATATTATTGTCACATTTCAATAATTTTACAGATTGATTGTTAAACACAGCCATTTATAAGATTAAAAGATGTAAATTTTAAAATAAATAAACTGTATTAAAAACAAATGTATTATACTAAAAAATTCATTATTTCCTATTTTAATTACCATCTGTGCTTTGGAGGTTATGTCTACTGTGTCTGACATCGGGTCAAATTAAGGCTTTTTATTTTTAGTTTTAAGTTTTTCATCTTAGAGTCTGACTTCTAAAAGTGAATTAACCATTTCATCTGAGTCTTAACTGAAGAAAGAATGATCTGCACTGAATTTCTTTATGGTCTACATATATTACTGTATCACTAAACAGAGCAAAAATTGATGTTCTAATGATACCCCTGAAAATTAAGAAAAGTTTAAATTACCTTGTGATTTAGAATCAGAAGTCTTGAATTTCAGTCCTATTTCATGACTACTGGTTATGTGATCCTTGGTAAATCAGATAGGTCACACAGATTTATCATCCTTAAAACGTGGCTATAATACTACCACCTAACTCATAGCTTTGTTGGAGAAACTAAATGAGATGTTTTATGTGAAAAGAACTGTGAACTGTCAAGTACT